TGCTTTAGGTTTACAACAATTACACAGCCTGGAATTATTTTTTTCCAGAATGTTATTAACCTTTTGCACCCATGCACAAAAAACAAGACTTGACTTTTAGTATGTCTTAATATACAGAGACACAGCTTGGCTGGGCTTGCATAACATCCAACATTAAAACAAAAACAATCACAGCCTCCAAGTGCTGCAGCAACTGAAAGAAGGCATAATGCAGCGAGAAATGTGTGCACACAGCAGTTAAACATTAGCATCACTTTAGAAACTATGAAACAAGACAATTTAATTAAACATTCAGGAGATGTAATTTAAGTATGACCAAAAGGCAAGTAAGGACCTCTAGGTCACTGCATAATTGGTACTAGGTCGGGGAGTGTCGATCTGCTGGAGGAGCCAAATGATGCCATAAACCCTCAAGTGAAAAGGCAGCAAGTCCAGAAAAAAATTGCTGCTTGATTTCCTTTATAGAAACAGGTTAAATAAAAATCCTACCCTGTGTTTGCTCATGCAGGTCCTCTCCTCTTACAGAGACATTAATACAAGAGAAAGTGAGTTGGTCCTCCAAGTAGCATGGTCTAATACAATGTAAGGCTTTCTACTTTGTAATTAAAAAGTAGTATTTTAAACTCCTACTGGTATGATTCCTTCAGTCATGTTAACCTTACATAAAACCTTTAGATAGTAAATATTAACAAGTAAACCCTTGAAAATTTCATCTTTTTGAAAACAGAAAATGTTAGAGCAAAACAACAGCTGACAATACTACCTAAAAACTCCACTCATGGAGTGTACAACATTATAAGCTGTGTCCTTCAAACAGGCACAAATGCTGCCTCCTTCTAAGTTTGCAGATGACACAAAGTTGGGGGGGAGTGTCGATCTGCTGGAAGGCAGGAGGGCTCTGCAGAGGGACCTGGATAGGCTGGAGAGATGGGCTGATGCCAGTGGGATGAGGTTTAACAAGGTAAGTGCTGGTCCTGCACCTTGCCCAATCCCATGCAGTGCTCCAGGCTG